GTTACCGAAAGAATAAATTTTACAATACATTTTCTAATGAACAGCTTTAGAGAAATCAAATATAAAAAAATATAAAATATATAAATGTTTAATTTGTAGTTTCGGTAAAAGCAAAATTTGGCTTATTTAATAATTTTCAAAATTATATTAAAAAAATTTCAAAAACAAATCATCAAAATTCCAAACCCAAAATTTAAATTTTTTGAAATAAATTTTTTAATATGTACTTTTGAAAAATTGTATGATTTTATTTGACAGAGAACATTTTTTCTCGAAAGTTATAATTTATAGATTTTAGTTTACAAAAACAAAAAAAACAAAAAACAAATATTTACATGAAAAGAATTCGAAATACTAATATTTTATAACTATATTGAAAAAAAAAAAAATAAAAACATTTTTTCATTAACAAATTTCCAAACAATTTATTGCCAAAAACATTACAATAAAACTTCAACAGTCAAACTTCTAAGCTCAAAGTTTTGAAATAATTACAAATTCTATTTTCCAAGGTTTGATTTTTAATAAAAAGCAAATTTGCAGTTTTGTTTTTCAAATTGTAAGTATTTCAAAAAGTAATGCATCCTTAATTCACGCCATCGATAAATATATTATTTCATTTGCAACTGCTTAAATTTTTCTTATAGCATATTTTTAGGCGAATTAATTGAAATGTGTTGCAGTATTCTGAATTTACGATGAATTTCAAAATCTTGCCACACGAAGTATAAACGAATAGAATGTAATTGCAAGAAATCACACAAACTCACATAGGAAATCAAAAATAACTCTCCCACAAGAGTTTGCTACAACATTATACTCATCTGCGCTCGCACACGGTCGGCTGCATATCGTAACCCGACTAATGATGCCCCACAAGTGAACGCTTGAGGTTATGTTTGCTTTGGCGCTTAGGTTCCACATGCAGCGCAATAATTTGTTGCTGCCGCAGATACATACATATTCTACAGATGATGAGAGTGTAGTATTCTTCTATTCTTAAATATTTGCTACTGCGCTGTTGCGCTCGGTTACCTCCCACTGGCGGCAGCAACGAGTACAAAGTGCAAGATTCGCAAAATTTTTACGATGCATATATATTTGTATATACATATGTGTGTACATTTGTATTTACTTGCATCTAGTGCGTACTTAGTAAGACGTCAAAGACCACCACCTTGACGCGCCACACCTTAGCGCAGTGGCTATGAGTCCACCGAGTGATCCGTGGCGCCCGCACAGCATCCAAAGTGTCAGCATCTTCAAAGGCCTCCTGCTGCAGGCAACTCCTTTACACATTTCCGAAGCAGTTAATGCATTTCGCCACAATCATCTTTGGCTAAAGTATGTAACGGACCATCTCATTGCTTTCGCATACAATTTTCTTTGTAAGCGCTATCGATGAAGCTCCCTCCCGCAATGCCTTCCATAAAAACTGTGCTTCCTTTTTGTTTACAATATTCGATTTATTTTTGTATGTTGTTATATATATATATATTTACATATGTATGTATGTAGTATGTGTGTACTTGCGAGCATCGTGTGCCCCAGTGTGCCTTATCGTTAATTGAGTTTCTAGAAATTCGCTGCCTTTGCTCTTGCCACATGGGATGGCGCCACTTGCCACGTACTAAAATTTGTATGCACTCGGCTATGGCGAAATTTTGAAATAATAAAAATAATAAATTGAAATTATCTGCTGCAAGCGGGAGGTCGTGTTGCAAGCTAATGTAGTAAATAAAATGCAATAAAACGGTATGACGTGAGTCATAGAACTTAACGAGCAATAACTAATGACCTCTTTGGAGTAGCTTCCTCAATGCTGATACCAATTGTGGAGTTGCAGAGTATTTTTCCTGCGTTATTTTCTTGGATATACGTATGTAGTGGGTATGTGTATAAATTGGTTTTATGTTTGTAAAAATTTAGTGAAGCTTCAATGTATTGCTTATATGAGAACTTAAAGGATATTTAAGAATCCATCCCTAAAGCTTCCCAAAAAATCAGTTAGTATCTTTTTCGTATCTTTTAACAAATCTCATACCAATTTTGCTCTTGACCGCAGCTTATACTCTCGTTTACTTTCATTACCTTCATTATGTTACGAAAGTGCCTTTAACTTATCAACTCTTTCTTCTCTCTCTCAATCCTGGGAAAAGAGGTCCATAGTAATGCTGAACTTAACTAAAGTGCCTTCGAGAATCAATGATGTTTGAGTATATTGCTTTTGTTCTGAAAGTGTTAATTACTTTTGTCACGAATTGCCTTATTGAGAGTACGAAAATTTCCAAAATGCCACTGCAATTCTTGGCACATGAGTTTTTTTTGTTTTTGGTCTTCCTAACCATTGAAAATGAAGATCTTGTGACGAAACCGCACTTTTAGTACTATATATAGTACTTTGTGAAACCAGAAAATAGAACTCAGTCGACAAAGCGCCTTGGAGGCAATACAAATCCGTTTTATTTCTGTTCCTACCAGCTCACCGGAATATCTGAAAACTGTATGTGAGCTCGCAGGTGTAAAGCTTTGGTCTCATAAAGGCGAGACAGTCAAGACGGAAGTGTTGAGATATTTTTACCTTGTCTTCTTCCAAACAGCTTGTGTAACTGGCATCCGGTGAGCTTCTCAACTTTACTGCGTGGACACCGATAGGCCACATATCAGTTAGAACTCCTAAATGTAGAGAAAGTCTAGCCAAACTAAGAGCGAAAGGCTCACTGGACCACTTTCGATCCACTTTGGGCTAAAAAGATCTTGCTATAGTACAAGAACTAATGGTAGCCCACTTCTGGCCATGCTCGTGCGAATTTCTACTATCTAGTAATAGAACCCACTAAGAGAACGGAGCTCCTTCCTGCTCCTTAGCTTGTTTTAGAACCCTGAGTATACATTAAGTCAAAAAATCCTGGTTTGGCCGAACCCTTTAATGAACTTAATCCGCCTGCTCATAAAACTCTCTTACAAAACCAAACAGAGAGCAGCTACACTTTTCGTAAGTAAAATATGCTCGCTGCTTTTATTTAAATTACTGCTTTGTCTTTTTAAGTTTTACCATATTGTACCCGGTTGCATGGTCTTCTCCTATTTATTTTTTGTTTTGTACTTTCCGTTAACGAATTGTTCAGCCCACGACCTCAAACTGCCATCTGTCGGTATTGTTTATTTCACGGGCATTGCTCATTCAAGCGAAGCTATCAAATGATTTTTGTATAGTATATAACAGATAATCGCGTAATCTGACAGCTCTTGGTGAGTAGTACGACCGTTTAAGTGAATATGAGTGTGCATACATTTGTTCTTTTATTCAACGGTTTTCTGCTTCAATTGATGTTAATTGAAATTAATTCGCCAATGCTTGTAAATAAAAGTGTTTATGCATTTATATGTATTTTTGCATATACGTACATGGTACATATGTACATATGTGTGGGTACTCAATAAGGCTCGTACTCGTACTTATCTGTAGCACATGACCTTCACTTTTTTTTTGCTATATTACGATTTGCAGATATGAGAATATAAATTCTTACATATCTTGATACACACATATATATAACTATAAAGTTATACGTATGTATGTATGTATGTATACAGTTATTTACGAAGGTACGTAACTTTCTAAGAACATTTCGCAAAACGTGTCAAATTTTGCTTTTAATTATACAATTTATATAACTTTCTTGTTGGCTAGTTTCTCTTCGGGAATACCAAAATAAACACTAACAGTTATAATTTCTCTAAAATTTTGAATAGCTGACAGCCTTGAAGAGTTTATACCAACTAAGAGTCAATACTCTTAGTTTATTATTTATCCTTGTCGGACTTGTGTTGAAACTTTTATTGTAATATTTCAGCTGTTGTATTAACATTGACTAAAATAACAAAAATCTTATCAGCTTTAGTTTCAGCTTTTACTCTTTAGTTTTCTAGTCATATTATAATAATTAATTGAATTTATTCTATTGTATTAAAATTGTTAAACAATTAGCAACCCTCTCCAAAAAATATCCCTAACTAGAAGATTTCATAAGTCTTCATTTTGATATCCATATTGTCGTGTTTTATACATTTTTTGATACTACATTTTCAAGTAGGTGGCAACCTTAAAACTTTATTTTCAATAATCCTATTATTACACCAAAAAACAAAACAAAAAAAAAATCGTGTCGGCTAATGTTTTATTTGCTGGTGTTCAACATACAGCGAGCGTGATGGAATTATGTTATGCTACGCAATTTCGTTGCGATAGATCACTTTTACTACGGCATTTTAAAAAGATTATCTTCAAAACCGGTCATATGATACTAATCACTGTGATTTCCTGCGAATAAAATGCTAATTTGATTAATTTTATCTAAAATATAGGTTAGATCGAAATACTATCTGATTAAATTTGGCCCGTACTGGTGCATCGGCTGGGATGACCTTAAGTGCCTTTAGCAAATTGTTTTTTTACTGTATAATTTTTGGAGCCTCGTCCACTAGATTTTTGTTTAGTTTCGACATCATCTTCATAAACCCTCGTCTCGTCACCAGTAATAATGCGTTTGATGCATGAAGGGACCTCAGTTATGCTGATCTCTTTCTCTACTCTACTCTACGTTGTTGTTTTTTTAACAAAATATTTAGATCTTTTGGTACGTGTCTAGCATTGACACGCTTCATACAAATAAGTGAATTTAATCTGAAATTTATGTTAGATTACCACTAATAAAGCGAAATATATGTATAGACATACTAAATTACTCATAAAATATTACCATCTATTATCATATTTATAAAACGCTACTTAAAATTTATTTATATACTATAAATATTCCTTTGCTTTCAAACTTTAGAATCATAAATAGATTTTACTTCTGACCAACACGAAACATAATTTCACATGAGTTCCATAATGCATGCGCCATAACAACTCTTACGCAATAAATTCCACTTATCAACTGCCAGTAATGAAAAAATTATGTGCAGTGAAACAATTTATGTTACAAATGTCTATTTCAAATGCATTATTTGCTTTATAATTCAAGCGTGACAGCATTTATGGGACAATGTTTTTATAAAGTATTTCATTAGAAAATTAATTTATAGTCAACAAAATACTGATGTCAGCAGATCTGAGCCTAAGCGGAGCATGTTGTGTCGAATTGTTGGGGCGTTACGCCACAGCTGCCTTTTAGGACCCCCAACAAGTGTTACATGCCTTCGTTGTACGACGTGCATCCTTCTGTATGTAATTATACAAGTGTTTATGTACTTGTATGTTTCGAAAATCTTCTGGGTCTTCTTAAATTACACAGAATTGATAAAAGACAAAGGTTTTTGACAACCAATGTGTGACATGGCTACTGGAGTAGCATAAATGTACAGTGGTGGCTGTAAATATTAGTTCGTTATTATATTTTATATATTCATGGAAAAAATTTTGAAGTTTTCTGTATGCAGTTGTGAGGATTTTTTTCAAGATTTTCGATATTAAAATGTTTACAATTTCATGCTTCATTATATGTTTTCAATTATGACTTAAGTGTTTCATGGAAATATTAAAATTTGAAACCTTTTATTATGCAATTACAGAAGGTTTATCTCATAAACCGTCGAAACATGAATAAACACTTAACTACTTAATCGAGATTTTTTCGAAATTTCGAGATCTCGATATTTTTTTTTGCAAGTAATATACCCTTTTATGCAAAATGAGCTCTGTGCGGTCTAATTTCAGTACTCATTGCATGTATTCCAAACAAAACCCAAAAAAAAAGAAGCACACATTTTAACTATTCACTCATTTCCATCCTTTCGCTTTTTTTCTCTGCTCTAATAATTTTTGGCGCATGTATGGCAGTAACAACCATTGATAATATTAGATAAGTTTTCTATTGTGAATTGTTGAAATGTGAAAAATTGTTAAATTTGACAATACAAATTGTTAATTAAACAAAAGCTTATTGAATTTCAGATGTGGGTTAAGCTATTTTTTTTTTGTAGAATACATGGCATGAAAACTTCTCGAATCAAAAGAGTTAAAAAATTTCGTTTTGACCGGAAAGAAGAAAACATATGTTCGAATAGTCATTCGCTAGCGCTTACTGAATTGAACAAATATTATATCGATAATTTTGTGTACTTTCCAAACGTTCTGAAAGTCATATTAAAGTCATCATTCTCAGAAAATTATTTGAAATCCATTTTAAATTTATTACTTGATCTCTCATTGACTTACATCTTATCCCTGTTTTATGCACACTACTGTAGGCACGTGCCAAATCAACTGGTCTTACTTATACGTTTGACTTCTAAGGACCTCAATCAGTAGCGTAATATCCGTACCACTTGAGCGTGTCTGTATTAATGCGGCTGTACCCGCCTTGTTTGTGTGTGAAAAATCCAAATGTGTGAAGTCTGTTACGTGTAAAATTTGTTGTTTGCGTTTTTCCGGCTGCGTTTGCTCAGCGCACAGCACATGTTCTTATGAGTGCGTGCGCATGCGCTGAGGCAGCCGGTAGGCAGTCGGCAACACTAATGACAAAGGCAAGTGCTACTGATGTGCGCATTGTTCTGCGCTGCATTTACCACAACTACTTAAATTATATTTTTGCTGCTCTATTCTCTTTGGAAATCTTGCCTCTGCATGCATAATTATTATAACAGATGTGCTTAAGTGTTACCATAATACACTTGCTGGTTTTTATATACACATATAATGTAATAAAGTAAAGGAAATACTTATATGCTGGCATTTATGGTGGCATATACTTACATACTTAAATACTTAGAAGAATGCCACAAGTGCTCTTCGGGTCATTAGGGTTGCTTATAAATCAATAAAAAGTCGAAGAGGGAAGTGCATTCTGTGTGTAAATTAATAAAATTGCTTATGTATTTGTTATCGTTTGAAATATTTGCTTCATATACATACATATATCTGCTATAGTATGATCTCAGTCATCTCGTCATTGCATCTTCGCTGGAGCGATAAGTTTTTGAGTCAAACGAGAAAAATGTTTGATTCAAAACCATCTGCGTTTTGTTTGTTAATCTGCTTTTTTTTCATTATTTTTTTATTTTACTTCCCACAACAGAGTGTATTAAGTTTGCCTTGAAGTTTGTAATATCCAGAAAGAAACGTCGGCGACCCTTTAAAGTGTATACATACATATATAAATGGCCAGCGTGATGAGCTGAGTTGATTTGGCCATGTCCGTCTGTCTGTATATATGCTGAAATTTTGCACACATCTTTTTCTACTCAAGAAGTTGCTCAATTATTTAAACCGCCGTTATCGAACCACTATAGCATTTAACTGTCATACACACTGAACGATGAAAAGTTTTTATATGAAAAACTATTTTATTTGACGAGATATTTTCACAAAATTTAGCATGAATTATTGCTCAAGGCAAAGCTATAATCTATGTGTATATATAATAATCGTACCACTATAGCATGTAACTAATATATAAACTGACCAATCAAAATCAAGTTTTATCTGAAAAAATTTTTAATTTGACGAGATATCTTCACCTAATTATGCATGGATTATTGTCTAAGGCAACGATACACTTTTCGAAATATTGTTCAGATCGGCCCACTACAGCATATAGCTGCCAAATAAACTAATTAATTAAAATCGAGATAAATATCTTTTTATACCCTTTTATGCTATTAGAAATGCACCTGTGAAAGGTATTATAGCTTTGGTGCTGCCGTTCACTACTTTTTTTGTTTATAATTTTTTATATTTTCCATTTGTGCCACCTTCTTCTCTCTTTATTTTCGTGTTTTCTTCTATTGTGTAGCAAAAGTTGCTGTTTTGTTATTGTTATGTCTATATTTTCTCTATCTGTGCTGGTTTTGTTATTTTTTTTTTTGAACCATCCGCAACAACAAGTCGTAATTATCTGAATTATCTGTTTTTAATTATCAGTTACATTTCTGCGGCGTGCCAAATAATAACGCCTTTATCAGTCAGCTGTCTTGCCAGGTAGTTATGTTTGTACAGTTATCTATATACATATGTATGTATGTACGTGTCATTGGGAGCATTGCTCATCTAATATTTTTCTAGTTCCACAGATAACAGTTACCATCCACTTGATAGTTTCGGCTTATCGTCGAAGTGTTGTTTACTTAAGTGACTTTCATTGGCAGCTCCTGTGTGTGTGTGCGTGAATGTGTGTGTAATCAAAGCCTTTCCCCAAAGCGCTAATCAAAATCTACTCATATACATATGTACGAATAAGTGATTTAATAAAAAATGTACACTACAAATATTTTGCTATCTGCCGAATGCTCTAGTAAACGAATGAATCAAGAGCTTTTTGAAAATTTCTCATGCGACTGTCATTATGTTTCTCAAGCTGTTTTTCTATTACTCTAGTTATGCGCTCTCTATGCGCTAGCTTTTTGCTATGCTCTGCGTCGCTCGAAAGCACAAAAAATTCTTGGTCATCCCACATTTCAGTTCCACATTCGGCGCTACGCTCCGCATTGCATCGCCCGCTCCGCCCTATTAATGTCATACAACAACAATGAAATATAACGCATGTTGTTCCTCTAGATTTCCGTTAATTTGTTGTTGCCTGGTATGCCACTTATCAATGTTCTGCAATATCAGCCACAACAACAACAACAACAACAACAATTACTGAAAGTTTGACAAAATGCAATAAGACCGTATATTGTACAACAACAAGTTGAGTGTAAGCAACAACATTGCAGTGCAGTGGCGGCATTGCCAGCATCAGTCCACAGCTGAAAGCACTAGCTCTTGTTGTACAAAAGACCGGCAGTCGGGGAGGCCATGGTAGGCAATCGAATCCACAGACAACAACAGCAATAATATGCCCATCACATCGTGTGACTTATTTTATGTACTTTACTTTGGCTGCGTGCGTGTTTGTGTGTATGTAGGCATGTGTGTGTGCTGCTACAATTTCCACGAGTCTACTGTGTACTCGGTCGCTGGCTCGGCTTCAGTCTCCTTGAGCTTGTGGAACTGTGAAAATGTGTGACGCGTGATTTTCCTCAAACGCGACTTACCGTGCCGTTGACTGATATTATTAAAAGTGTCTTTTATTTTTTAACAATTCGTTTGTGTTTAAATTATTTCGCCAATATTTTGCTATTTATACTTACATAAACTTTATGTGCGTGCAACTTTGTGCTTCCTTAGTACAACTGTGAGATCGAAGAAATGACGAAAAATTGTTAGACAATAATCATTAGTCTGGAATCCTTCGCAGTTGAAGCGCAAATCGAAGGAAATTGAAACTTCAGCAGCAGACCTTGTGAATTTTAGTGCTGCAAAGAGCAAAGTACCTACAAACGTAAAAAAAAATCTTTGAAATTTTTATGAAGCAAGTGTAGAAGTGTTTAAAAAAAATATGTGCTATTAAATGCACATAAATAAAAAAACGAATAAAGAGAGCAAGGCAACGTCCGTATGTAGAAAGAAACCTTTGACTTTGTGCCAATGTATTTTTATAGTAAATACAGTGAAACGTCGTTCTAAATGTGTAATTTCGTGCATAATTGTTACATACTGTTCAGAAAAATATAAATATATTTTTATTTTTATATACATTGTTAACGACTCGAACTACGAAGGAAATACTAAGCACCTGAATAATTTAATTAGACACAAATATTGGTTAGTGGTTAACCGCAGGTATTTGCAATCGGTTATTAAAGCTGGAAAATTATATTAGCATTATTTTAAAAATTTTAAAAAACGTAAGTTTCTTAAATTTCGGCACTTCAAAAATACTTATGAGTTCTCTTCAACTTTACGTCGTAACTAAAGAACAATATGAAAATTAAAATTGCTATACTGAGTTGAACGAAATGTTATAAGTTCACAAAACCAAAAAGCAAATCTACATGCCTAATACAAATGTAAAAATATGGTATATATCCATATACTGCCACTCATTCCTGCAGCTGTCTGGCTTTTCATTCGAAAAGCTCCATCCAATATAAATTTTTTTTAATGATATTTACTGTAAAAAATAATTTTAGGCGCATTTTTGTTTACATTTCCACATACGCTTTTGTATGTCGGTTTTTATGTATCTATCTCCCATTTAATTATATATTTTTTATGTGCCTTACAATAAGTCCCCCCTTTTTTACACCCAAGAATTAAAAATGCTTTCCGCTTTTGCTATCTATTCATTTGAATTTTTTTCTCCACTTGTTCGCTACTATTCGTAAATGATTGCTTCATTAGCGTCTATTAATCAGTTGCTTTGCCGTTGGTGCTCAAAGGTTCTCAGACTTATGCAAGCATAAATTGCATAAGTGTTTGTTACTTAAGTCTCGAAAATACCTTTTTTCAAATAGGTTAAATTCGTTTTATGATTAGTTTTAGTTATCTGTTGTGCTTGGAATTTGTTATGCTGCGAAATAAGATTTATTTTAGTTGGTTGTTTACGGAATGAAAGTCAGTGCATTTGCTTGATTATTCAGTCATATATAACTAACATGTTTTATTGAATGTCTGAGGATTTGGGTAATAAATTATTTATGAATGTGTTTAAAAAACTTATATAATCCCAATTATATTATAAACATTTTCTTCATTAAATGCTGCCAAAACTGTTTTTAAAATTGTATCTTACGATATTTACATATAGGTCTTCATATTGTACTCTAAATTTCAATTCCACAATATCTCAATAATATTAGTCGTATATATCACTTTCAACAATATCTAAGTTCCCTTAGCGCATATAGCTTCTCAAACAACTTTAGTTCTAATATAAATCTAATTTTTTTATCGGTTTAAAATTGAGAGTGTACATTCAGGCTTTGTCAAAGGTCCAAACCTAATAATAGCTAGGTTCAAAGTCTCGAAATTGCTTTTCAGTGCCAGCAAGCAATTATTCTCAGTTTTTTCATATTCCCATTTACTGCTTGTAGTTTTTTTTATTTTTTAAAATAGGTTTTGTTTCAAAATCTAAAATTTCCATTAAAAATATATCATCGCTGGAGTGAAATGTTTTTTGGCGCTTAAAAGTATGCCGCATTTTTATATATAATAAAATTTTCTTCATTTCCAAGAAAGGCTCTGATCGTTACTTAAAAAAAACTATTTGCAGTTCAATGTTTACACAATTAGTATAAAAGCAGAAATATTTGATGCTCTTTAATCCTTAATTATTTTTTATTATCTATGTTTATTTTTCAGTTTAATATTTTTATTTATTAATTTTTTTGTTTAATATAAATCTTTGATTTTTTATGCATTTACTTCTAAATTCTAACCGTTTTCGTTTTTTTCTTGTATTTACAATGAATTTTATATTAAAAAATTCATTATAATGAAAATGTTGCTAATAACTAATTTTATATCTTATGAATGTTATTATATATATATATATATATATAAACTTGAACTTTCAAATTTAAATAATTTAATTTTATTTCTATTTTAATGTTTGTACAATCTTTTAATCTCTTATTTTTATTCGTATTATATTTCGTAACCCCATTTTATGCCCCACCCTGTATCGTATTGGCCTCTTAGTCTTTTACTTTTGTCACTCCCAAACTAAATACAACACAAAATAATACAAGACAAAATACGAAGAAAAGCGCGAAAATTATTGCTTCCGCATTCAACGCTCGAACTATCGAGCTATCAGCGATCTTTTCCTTAGCAAATATTTGAAAAACAAATAGAACATAAAGACAAAAATAAGACACATAAGAACTACAACAGCGCATCCGAGAGAAACGTAGTCGCATACGAACAACAAACGCAAACATTTCCATTGCACTCCATTTGCTTTTCATCACATTCGTCTATGTTTTCCTTAAGTTTAAGTTATTTTAATTTAAATTTTGTTTTTTATTTTGCTTTTATTTAATTCGCTGCCAATTCAATTGGTCAGCGAATGAATGGAATATTGAGAATAAAAAATTTTTACGCAAGAGAAATAGAAATAAAGAAGTAAGAAAAATATATGTATGTTGAATCGAATTAAACGAGGGTATAGTACGAAGTGCCAATACTACACAGCATACTTGTATTTTATATTTAATAAATCGGCTTTTTGGAAGTAAATTCTATTAAAATATTATGTAACGGTATCTCCGAAAATATATTGAAAATGTATATTACTTTGAGATTTGTAGTGCTTTATAGAGATATTAAGTTAGCAACGACAATTATATAGTAGATAGAAGGCATGTTCTCCCAAAACGAATATTTCATCATAATTCTTTTTGGAAATTTGAGGAAATCTGAGGAGTCTTAGTTAGAGAGAGTTAATTTGGAGTCTTAAGTGATAGGATTCCGGGTTTAAAATATCTTAGTTCTTATTAGAGTTTTCATTTCATACGAACGAAGAAAGAGGGAGAAAGAAATACTGATATGATCTCTTATATCTACTAAGATCATAAATGATTCTTACTCATCGACTTTTCTTTCGTGCAAGTATTGAATATCGATTACTCCACTATGATATGATATATCTCTTAGGTTATTTTATTATATTAGATATATATCTTAGAAACCCAATTCTATGAGATCAGTGTGGTTAGGATATTGGAGCCAATTACAATTTTAAATCTAATTCTAACTGAAAATCTCTAGCTGGAAAAAGCTGACCTAAACACCACTGAGGTATTTCTGTCATGAAAAGGTCTCTAAGTACAGTCCAAGTTGGTTCAAGATTTGATTGGTCTATTATATATTTTAGAAAACTCTCCACTAAAGTCTCCCCTTTCCAAAAGTCGTAATTTTTTGTTGATTATTTACCTAATTAATTTAGTTAGCTGTAGGAAAATCACAAAAGTTCTCAATAGCGCTGAAATCCGTTTCAAAACATTAAAATTATGCGCTTCCAAGCAACTTTTTTTATGCATGGGGAATAAATATATTACATTCGTGAAAATGTTGGCCATATTGGCCATGCCAATTTTTGTACATTTGTTATTTAGAAAATCAGCCAGTGGTAGCTACAGCCGCAAACCGCTAATGGCGGGCAATGTACAGCATTTTTGCAGCAACAAATTGCCAGCGGCAATTAGAGGTGGGAAATTAGGCGAAGCAACGAGCGTAGCGCATGTATGTATTACATTTTATGTATGTATGTACATATGTGTGTACAAATGTGTTGGCAGTTGTTGCTGTTGTTTTCTGGTTGCGGTTGAGCATTTACATACTTATTTACGTGTATATTTACTCGCATCTTTACGTAGCCTTCGCAATTTTCTAAACATTTCAAAACAATGCTATTTTTATAAAATGCGGCAACATGCAACTTTTGGCGCGCAACTCCAACTTTGCATACACTTTGTGCACGATACATACATGCGTGTATACTCGCAACATAAGCACATATAAGCAGCTCCAAACGCATTTTTATGCGCCTACATAAACATTTGCTTTGCCAGTTTGCTGTTTTTGAAACTTTTTCCACAGAAACTTATATTTTTTTTTCAACTCACTATTTTCCATTTCACTTTATTTAGATTTGTATGTTTGTACGTTGGATTTCTGCGCGCGTATTTATTGCATTTTCTTATGGCTGTGGACACATGTTGGCTGCATTTTACCGTTAAAATTTGTGAAAGAGTCAAAACTAAACAAACGCGCGTAGAAATTGCAATAACTAAAAACTCAAATATAAAACAACCTACTATAAGTGAAAAAAGCAACAACAAAGCTATTGTATTTGTACTATTTACAACCACTACGACAACAATAACAATAAAAATCGTACTACACAAAAACACATGTGCATAATATAGGCCAATTCGACTGAAGTGCATTGAACTGCACAGCACTGTACTGCGCTGCTAGGTGGCATTAGCAGTATATATACTAATACCATATATATTTTTATGGAGACCTATATGTATTAATTTAATACTTATGTAGAGAAAAGGACACAGGTTTGGGAGTTAAATTATGAAAGCTTCATTTAACTGTAATAGCTTTCACACATAAAAACTTTAACTCTTTTACACTTTGCACAGTTTTAATCAATGTTTCTAATACTTCTTTCGTCATAAGTTATATATTTTTAGTTATTTTAAAGAGAATAGTCGCTGGCAGGATCATATGTCCTTTTTTAATCAGTATTTCAAGCTTTCACTGAAACTGTGTAGTTATCTTTGTAATAACATGCTTCAGTCGATTCTTTAACTTTACAGCAACATCTTCCTTGGAATATACTGAATTAGTTTGTAAATCAAAGGCTGTGTATGGTATTACCACTGCGACTACGCCCTTACTTTGTAAGTCTCTTTATCGTCAAGTGTAGTCAGTCTTACCTTAAATTTATTCGAGAAAATAACTACTTTTTAGGATGTTTGGATGCCTTTGGATTCGATTTGATTGATCTTGCCCGTCAGAGACCTACTTTCTGATCCCTCTAAAGGGTACTCATTTGGTGGGCCAGCTTTTTATCTTCTTCAAAGTGAATTTATTAAATCTGCTATCAGCTATAATTTTTCCAATATGGCCCAACTGTTAAAAGTCTCATAAATTGCGGCTAAACAACTATTTTGAGGTAGTCACTTGCATATTAGATTCGAGTGTAAATAAGCGGAGCTTTTATCGTAAGAGTTACATTTTAATGCTAAAATCATCTTGTTAAATTTTCGTACCCTCTTTCTACTAATATCCAAACGCAAAATGAAGTCTTTAAACTACTTTTTAAGTATCAAAATTAAATTGCCCTTTGGTTTCTATGCCTATTGTACTATCATCAATGTAATTC